GGCCAAATTAATATGGCAAATTAATGCGTCCCGCAACCGTATAATTTTCACGTATTCGGGGGTGTTTCTTGCGACATTCCATATTGTTGGGGTAACGTGTTCCGTGTGCGTGCGCTCTGCGGGCATGAAGCGGGAGCGTGAGCGAAACAAGTAAAGACGATTTGAGTACATGTTTATATTTTAATACAAGACCATGCACTTGCAATGTGCTGACGGGGAGACCATGCTGATGTAAAGACCGTAATATACGATGGACAGTAACAACGATGGAGGATAATACCATACTTGTAGTAGAAAAAAATTTGTGCTCTTAAAAAAACTATAGATTCATGTGGCTATAGAGTTATTCAGAAAATCATTATTTTTCTGCCTAACCCGGAGGAAACAAGGCGCGCATTGTATGTGTATACAATCATGGTAGGTTTATTTATTATTTATTCATGCCATCTAGGTTCTTTTTTATAGAAAAATATATCATTATAATAATAATAATAAAAGATTTTATACAATATTTTTTCTTTGATTACGTTGGCCGATTCCTAACTGCGTTTTTGCAAAACATTGACATATAATATATGTAATAGCCATTTGCTGGTTTATCACCTCATCCAAAGAAAAATATCGTCCACGACACTCATCAATATATTCAAGGTTTAGAGCTATACTATTCTTATAATTATTATGCCTTTCTCAGCATACTGCGTTCTGAAAAATAATTTAAAATCTAAAGTAAATTAAAGTACTATCGGTAAACATTATTACATGTACCATCTTGTATCCGCTTCCGCTATAAGTAGGAACGTACTAAGGCAGCATAAGTAAGGCTCGCATCATTTTTCCATATGGAAATGTTGTAACGAACATAGCGCACAAGACAACAGTGATATGCTAATTAAAGGAAAACATACGGAGCCGAGTTCAATGTTTATTTTGCGTCCAGAAAGTGGCGTAGCAGCCGACATTTGTTTTTAATTTCCGACACAGGTCTCCGTGTATTTCCGGTTCGGTTAAAAGAAATTTAAAGACCACTCGTTCTTGCATCCGTTTGTTCTCGAATCCTAAGTTCCATTAGGTGATTCCATGTAGTCGTTTCATTTTAATTTAATTCTGGTGACCCCGTGGCGCAGTCGTCAAGGTGTTGGCTTCGGCGTCGGGGGCGTGGGTTCAATTCCCGCATGGGACAATTATTTGTGTGACCCACAGATAGTTGTTTCGCATCTGGGTGTTTGTCCACGTGAAATTTATGTATGTAAAACGTCCTTGCAACACAGGATAATGTTATCCTAAAGTGAGGTTAATGTTTATAAAAAAAGAAAAGAAAAAAAGAAAAGAATTTTGACGAAAGATGCAATATGAAAATATCAATTATAGTATACCTTTCCGCCTGCTTAAAAAATGTCAAACTGTAAGTTCATAATAATATATTTTTGAGTCATTATGAAGGCGGATTCATATATATTTCTTATGATACATAAATTGAATATATAAAGTGCAATAAATGCCATTTTATACATTTGAAACAATGTTAAAAATGTAGTATCCAATTACTTCCCCCAAATTAAACGAACTCTACCTTTAGATATTGCACGTGCACATTAGGGGCTTAATTACAAAGTAACTTTGTAAGTATGCGATTTCTACGATTGTTCCAAGACTTTATCAAGTAACATGCGACTTTATGAGTGCGATTCGTCACGACAATTGAGCACGTGGGAGGGCCCCGGCCTAATGACATCAGTTCACGTAGGCGAAACATCTCACGCGATAAAAGGTGCCGCTCTTGAAAAACTCTTTTAATTTAATTTGCATCTTCATGTTACTTTGGCCTTATATAGTCTTTATTATTTTAATAAGAGTAACTTATTGACTTTATAAATTAATAGCATAGTCGATGTTTCCCAATTAATTATTATAGGTGTCGGTAAATCATAGTGTCATTTTACACGACCAAGGCATAGACGGATGTAATGACAACTTTTTTCGGATTCAATTTGTTTTCTCCTTTATATTTAGAATTTATTCCAATTTGCAACTATAATTTAACATTATATCTCGAGTCCTAAAAATATCATAAGAATTGCACCCGTCACCATTTCTAAAACTTGGATACATTGTTAAGACAAAATTATATCGGGAATTGAGCTTGGGTTGCCCGAATCGAAGACATGTTATGAAAACGTTCGTCCATAAAGATGCAGTCATACATAACGGATATAATGAATACAACAAGAAGACGTGTACAATATCGAGAGCAAACAATTAGAGGCAAGTTAGGGTGGATGGGGCCGCCGATTAAGTTATACACATGCGGGTTAAGGGTAACCTGACTCAGGAAGATTAAGATTCATCGAAGGACCCTTACACGGAGGCAAACATTGTATTACGAGCCGGTGTCTCGGCGATGTTTGCTGAAGGTATGCGGATGTTAATTTAGTATTCACCCCCTTTCGGAGATCGTGGCCAATATTAATATTTCTCCGAAAACGCGTGGAGCTTTGTCGGGAAAAGATTCGCTGCGTATGTATTATGAAGACTCCTTGGCGTCGCGGTCTAATTTGCGGTTACAAACAAGGGGCGGGAACCGGAGCGCCGTTAATGTCCCTGGAACGCCTCCGGGCTATCCAGACCGCTTGACCGCCCGCTCGGGAATACTGCGCACTATTAAAGTGCTAAGAGGGGCATTATTTCACCCTCCAGGGTCCCGTCATCTGTGTAAATTAACGTCTTAATTGTCCGCATCGCAGTTTTTGCCAGGAATCCAGAGGGCGAAATTTTAAAAAGCAGCTATTAAATACATAAATATGTGCACATACCAATCCCTGCCTGCACCGGAGAGAACAAGGTGCGCTATTTAATGAAGTGACATTTACAAAATGTTCCAAAGTACTAAAAGCGTCGAGAATATGATTTTAAATGTAATGTGACAACATGCCTAAAAGAGTTAAGTATAGCATCGCAGAGTGTCAATGTTATATTTTTTAATTTAGTTAAATTTCGAAAACTTTTAAATATCTTAATATTAAGTCCTAATCCTAAAAGCTGACCGCTGTGATAGGCAAGTTAATCCGCAAGATAAATAGCGGCCCAATGATCATTGTGCGGAACGTCCGATACGTAGGGGCAGTTGACTGATGTGTTTCTTTTGTCTCGCTTAGAACGGACCCCAGACCGGGCGAGACAATGTAAGAAAGAACTTAGCGTGTCAGCAATCGGCTGTCGACAACGCACATCTGAAACGTATATAGCTATGAACAACAAGCTTCGAATTTCCCTTAAAATTATCGAATGATATCGTGCATTTAATAAAGATGAATTTTAAATACTGACTATTTGATCTTTATGGTATTTCGATATTTTCATTCGAATTTCGATATTTTCATTCGAATTTATTCGAAGAAGTGTTATTAAAACAAACAGTCCTATTTCAGTAAAAAAGAAGTTAAATTGATAAATAAAACGGTAATTGTATGCTTTTATTATAGATAGTTATGAAGGAACCTTTTGATAACAATTGGCATCCAGAATGTCCAGCACATTAACTACAGACCACAGGATAAGGGAGATGATTTCAAAATCAAAGGGGACTTTATTTGAATTGGCTCCCATTGTGTCTTAGAAATGTTTTAAAGGCATTAAAGCGTCCCCTATTGTGTTACTTTGGAAATGTCCTTGAGGACCTTTTCTTTTTTATACAAGATTATCCTGTCTCTGAAGGTACATTCAAGAAAAAAAGTTACACACACTAAAACTCTATGTTGTGTACGAATTATGGATATTTTAAAGTGATCACCATTCCGTTATAAAAAATCGATGACTTAAAAAACGTGTTCCTTCTAAAATACCTCGAAGTCATGTCAATACGAAAATATCACTGGGGAAACTGATAGGATGAACAGAGTAGTTGTGCTCAGAGCAAAAATTCACATAAACCGTACGATGTTTTCTTTGATTATTTTTTGCTTTTATTCCTACATGTATTTGCAACAATGCGTCTTTTTAAACATGCACACAAACTATATGGAATTTAGTAATAAGAAAAAAAATTATGTAACGTTAAAATATGTAGAATTTTTTTTTAAATTAAGTGCAGAGATTAGCACTATAAAAAACTTTAAAATTAATGTAACTTTAACAAAAAAAAAACTACGCTGCATTAATATACCATACAACAGTGCTTATTATATACTTCTAACGAACTATATATATTTTCTAGAACAGTGTAGGCCAAAAGTATCACAAAAGACATAAAAGTATAACGTATAAGCTACCCTACATTTCTTCCTATATACGAGGTAAATAAAAATATAGATACATGGAACAAATCCTCTAAACTGCCAAGTAACACTTGGCGGACCCCCGTTTTATTTCCTCCAGACCAGGGCTTATCGGCAAATCTACTGGGCAAACAAGCGGCCGAGCTTGGCCAGATTTGCGAACACCAGCCCATCGAATAAATTGACCGGTAATAATAAAATGTAAGGGGGTAAGAATGTAGATCGCTATTTAGATAATTGTTAGCTGCGTCCGCATTGATCAGTGTATTGGAAAAGTCGACGGATAGTCCGGTTTTATTGTAGCCGCCCGAGGTGGTCGTTTATGGGAGAACTATCAGCGGAGAGGAACGGTCACTCGGAATTTATGATGTCGCATTTTGCCTCTTTCCGTTTGTAAGCGGAAACTGATATGGGGGCAATCAATTTAACACCAGTGTCGATTTGCAGTTATTCCATTTCGCTATTAGTGTATTCCACTTTTGAATTATTAGTCCATTCTACGGTCAATGGTGATATAAAATTGATTCACAACGCTGCGATCATATTACGTTAAATTAGTCTGTTAAAAAAGTTCACCTAGAATATACACTAACTAAATCACCAACTTCACGACCAAAGTTGGATCATCATGCCCCGACAAAACATTTCTGTCTATTTTTGTATTGTCTAGTAATGATTCTTAGTCATTGTTTTCAAAATGTCTAATGAGATTTTTGAAAACAATTAAGACAAACAAATCGAGGGGCTACGAACTCTATTGATTTGCCCACTGACGCTGATGAAGCCGAAGTCGACCGTTTGTTGACTTAGCTCCGTCGGGGTGGTTTCCGTGAGAAGTGAAATGGCACGATTTTTCCCGTCCCGTGCGTCGCGCCTGCCGTTCATTTGCGTGGGCTGCGAATATTTCATGCATCGATGACCACGCTCCCGTAGTCCCGAATTATGCCGGTCAACTGACCACCCAGCTGAGCGGCGCGCCGTAATCAGATCGACAAACATTCCGTCCTTTGATACAGATAAATTATTGTGGTCGGTGCTACGCTTTCGAATGGAATCTTATCGGGGTTTGTCTATGGCAAGACGCGGGCTTTGTGGCTAAGGTATATTTAAATTATTAGCTGTGCAGATGAATGTTGTTGATAATTTGTTATCATATCACATTAAATAACATTAAATCATATTCCATATTTATTAAAACAAAAAAATATATTATCAGCATAACTTTCACAGAGCTCTCGATTTTAAGGAAATCAAGTACAATTTGAATTCTAAACAATGCAAAAGCGTTGAGAAGTCGTTGTGGCCCCTAAATAAATAGCAAAGAAACACAGTTCGGCTGAACGTACAGAGAGGAAATACATTGTAAGACGTGACTGACAACTATAAACATAGCAAGGGCCCAAGTTCGATGTTTAGCCGCACCTGCGACGCCCATAGTCTCATAATATTCGGCTTAGCGCTGCCGGGGCCTGGCCTCCCATCACATGCATAAACGTTTTATATTAAACGTCTTGAGCTTTGCATAAAAGGGATGCGTGTGTACACGACTTTGGGATTCGAACATTTATTAAAAGTAAAATTTTGATCGTTCTCTTTTACGAGCGCACTCTTTGTCAAGAAATCCGTAATGGCGTCTACGTATAGGTTTTATTATTTCTTGTTCTTCAAACTTTCATTTTTCAACTAATTAGTGGGATGTTATCTGTATCTCAATGAGCACAGCCTATACATTTTAACATTAATAGTTTTACCATGATTAACACATTACATATCAGAAATTTTATGATTAATAACAAAATTATGATTGCCACGAATCAAATCACTTAGAAATATTATTAATTTGTACAAAAATAAAAATATCCATTTAATCTAACAATTTCAATTGTTTTGAATGTCTTGAAGAGTCTAGGAAATGAGCTTGTTTGTAATTAAAACTAGCAATAATAATAATAATAATAAATAAAAATGAAAAGCCTTTTATTCCTTGCAACAAACAATCTTACTAGTTAGTTATATAAATTTACTTATCCTAGTGATATTTTTAATTTTTCTTATTAATATTTAATGAGGAAAAACCCCTTCACGTGTGAAGGGGTTCCTCCAAAATATGCCAATTTCCCCGATTTTGGGCTACTTCCATCCAATGAAAAACAAGCAATACCTCGTGATAATAAAGAAAAACATTACTCTACATAACTCTTCTAAAAAGATCTCCTCAAACCAATTATTGCGGTTAATGAAGTTGAGAAGAAATGTGCTTAGCGATACATAAACAATAACATTAAGCCCAGCAAGTCCCGGGACCAAACACGATGATGCATGGGGCCGTTGAAATAATATTATCGTTACCGAGTGCGTACTTATTCTCGAAGGAAAATCAACATAAAGTGAATAAAAGAAAATTATGAATCGCACGGAAATAAATTACCCCGTGTTGGCGGCAAAATAACATCACATTTGAATGCCTTTTATGCTTTATGGGCCCGTAACTATATGAAATAAGTCCCGGTGCTGTTTTATGGGACATGAGAGCACGTACGCGGTATAATTTTTGAACTTTTTGTTTTGTTTACCTAACAAAATTAACTCAACAGTTTTTAGACAATCTTTTAAAACAGTTTTCATCTATCGACTGCATATTTAAACAAATAAAAACTCTGGAAAATGAATAATATAAAGAAATAAGTATTAATCACTTGGATACATAACCAGGTAGGATGAATGCTTTGTTAATCAAAAAAAAAAAAGAAAAAAAGAATTCAACCTTCAACAACATTAGTACTGACAGAAATAAATACGCGTTATTGATGAGGTCTAGAAATAAATGAAAAACTGCGCCCTTAAACTAAATGATGTTTAAAATAATTTTTACTTCGGTAAGTTATTTTGTAATAATCAACCTGTATTACCTTTTCCTTTGCCCTTCAATTTGGAGAAATTTATGTACCACCAAACTTGTATAGGCCTGACGCTAAAAGGTGCCGAATAAATTTCCAATAATTACATTATCGAACAAACCGGCGCGGCATCTCGCCGGCGAATTTTTCTCCGCGCACCTCGCAAGCCCATAATTCCTAATGACATGCAATAAACGTACCCCCAATTTTCGACATAAACCCGCCATAACAATATCGACATCAGCGTTTTTTCTCGACGGTTTTTTTTTTATTCGAGAATAAGTAACACTTCTCGCCGTAATCAAAATTTCGCGCGAGTCACACCACACCCTCGGGTCGGTGAATGTTTATCGGCCACTCAATTTGATTTTTACCACCGCACTGATTTTCACTCCTTCGGCGGAATGATAAAACGTACGTGGCGGAAAGCGATCTGATTTAGTGTGGATATTCTGAAAATTGAGAATTATCTTTTGACATATAAATAATACAAGTTTTGAAAAAATAAATTAGCACTAAAATCAGCAGTCGTCAAATAAGTTATGTGAATTATACGAAATACACAACAGCGCTATCCAAACTTGAGGACGCTAAGTTTGCTTTTAAAAAGATTAGACCTCTTTTTAAAAAAAAGAAATGGTAATTTATCTAGACGATGTAACATTCCTCTTATCCTTAGTTATTAGTACACAATTTGTTTTTATTTCTAATAGGTAAAAAAATAAAGTACGTTTTTAAAGAAATAATGAAAAAGTAACATCCGTGTTATGGCCTTCACGAGACACCGACCCAAGAGAAACTGTTCAAAATATCAATGCGACAAATTTTAGCCTCGTACAAATAGCACCCAGCGCCCTATATCTGCTGCAACGGCGTGGAATACTGTCAATTTAAATTCTACCAATTCCGGTCCAGTGTCCGACTGCGTTTCAATCGCCATACACTTCTTACCTCCATAATCCGCATATTTGAAAAGGGTGCGTATTGAAATTGTCTTCTTTTATATTCATTTGAGTGCCCAACGGTCAATGATATGTTATTGGAAAAATTTCAGTGCTCTGTCGATATTTGATAAAAAGAACATAACAATGATCAAAATATTTTTATTAAATCTTATTTAATAATTTCTTGCGTTTAAGCGAATACCATACAACATTAAATGAAAGTATATTTCGTATTCGACAAATTTAGAGTTGTTTAAAATGGAAGGACATAATTTTTTTTTTTTATGGAGAAAAGGGGCAAACGAGCAGGAGGCTCACCTGATGCTTACCGATGATTACCGCCGCCCATGAACACCTGCAATACCCGAGGGCTCACAAATGCGTTGCCGGCCTTTTAGAAAAGAGTATGCTCTCTTCTTGAAGGTTCCCAGGTCGTAACGGTTCGGAAAGATCGCCGGCGGCAGCTGGTTCCACAGAGTGCGAGGCAAGAAATGCCTTGAAAATCGCGCTGTTGTGGAACGCTGGACATCGAGGTGGTGTGGATGAAATTTTTGGCGCGATGTCCGATAGTGGAATTCAGCCGCCGGGATCAATCCAAACAATTTTCCGTCCGTTCACAAATCTTGGCCAAAAAACCATCAGCAATGATGCAATTTGCCCTCTAGGGCACCGTGGAACGCACCACATGCGTACCACTGATACACCCCGGCCTCACAGAAGATCGGCGTGAAGCAGAAGTATACTTTACGTTTCGATTGGTAAGTGAGAGAACCGAAGCCCACTGTTTTTAAAGGTTGGTAATGCATTTGCAAACTTTCAGGTGCTGTAGAAATCCCCCTCCGACCGGGTTCCCGCCTTGACGTGGCGGAGGGGCTTAGTAGCCGTAGCTTGGTCCCCCACGGCGAAGCTTAGAGGAACCCACACTGGGCCGGCCTGTGGTGTAAGGCCGGCCCGAGAGGGCCGCTCCGAGTGGGCTCATTGAGCCCACTCTGGATGCGTGCTGGAGGGTGCAGGGGACAGGTCGAGGGTGGTAGAGGTGGAGCCACTCTCCCTGTCTCCTGCTACCGAGGAGGAGTCGCGGGGGAAGAGGAGTGTCGGTATTGCGTTGGTCGTGCTCCCTATCTTCCGCGACTCGGCGGGACTGCACCGCTGATGCAGTGGTGGTGGGGCCGCGGGGGGAGAGGAGTGTCGGTATTGTGGTGCGCCGTTCTCCCTATCCTCCGCGGCCGAAACGTGGTGATCGGCGGAGCTACAGACCAGGTCCGCCGCTGGGGGCTGAGAGGCTTGCTGCTTATTTGCACTGGCTCTCCTGGCTCCCATGGCCCCGGTCAGCGAACTCGGGGGAGTTCGTTGGCCGTGAAAATGGGGCCAAGTAGGAAGGCGCACTGAATGTTCCAGCCCGCCTTTAAAAAAAAAAAAAAAGGTGCTGTAGATATCGCTTGATAAGTATGGCACCCATACTTACCAAGCGATTCAATTCTTCTCAAGGGGACTTGGAAGTTTGGTACGGACCAAGCCTTAACGGAACACCGCAAAGAGTTGTGCGCTATTTTTGGGTGGCAAAACCCGCTGTCTGTAATGGTTCTATCAAGTGGTGTGCTGTCCTTGTATTTAACGAATCATAAATACCCAGAAGGATGCCACAAAGGGGCATTACCATTGGGCAAATTAACTGCCCAAGACCAGAACGCAGAAGGCTGGCCTACCCACGCAACCTATCCGACTAGTAGTAAGGCTTTGGCCAGCAAACATGAGGGAGTCTGTTGCTGAGCATAGGGCTCTAGAGGGTTACAACGTAAAAACGTAGTGCAAAGATATAGCAAAACGGATGCCGACACGCGGGATAGCAGGCCAGTGAAGACAAAAGCTGCGTTCAATATTGTGTTTCGTATCCCCATGTCCTCAGCAAAGGAAAGTATATCATGTTATGGTTTTTAATAAATAACCTGTTCCGGCCGAAAATAACTCATTATCATAGGACTGACGGAAAAACACACCTTGTCGGATTATTTTAGTCTAGACTATGCCCATTCAAATTAGGTTTTATTATTACTAAATAATTTTATGTACGTCATTTTATTTATTATATATTTATATTACTGCTATTAATTATAATAATTCACAAAACTGTTAATTCGACACGCTTTCACATCACAGC